TATGATAGTGTGGTATTGGCATACTGCTGGTAACCCTGTGACAGAGGTTACTAAAATGTAGTAAGTACACCTTTCCTACCATCTTTGACATCTACAGGGAGTGTTATAACCTTGCATTAAATAGGGTTGCATTGCTAAATGGTAAATGGACCTGTACTTGTATAGTATACTTGCCTTTCTAGTCTTCCAATCACTCATAGCACTTCTACACTACGTGCCACATTCACGCTTTCACACACATTCACTCAGTGATGGCAAAGCCTATCAAACAGAAACTAGCTCACTCATACACATTGACACACTGATGCACAGCATCAGGAGCAATTTCAGGTTCAGTATCTTACTCAAGGATACTTCGGACACTTGGTGGGAGGATCAAGGAACCAACAACCTTCCGATTAGTGGACGACCCGCTCTGCCTCTAACCACAGTCGCCCTCAGTGGGATACCAATACCATGGTATACAATGGTATTAAAATGGATGGTTATCCTACACTGTACATTTTTCTTTTTTTATATAAAGTATTGAATTCTACAGTATTATGTTATATTTGTTTTTAAAAAAATGTATTCATGTAAGGGTCTTTGTGACTGATAATTATATTAATTGTGTAACTATGTATATAATGAAACCGTGATATTTGCTGAGATAGTTATTGTAGCCTGAAAATCTTATACCATTGCAACCATAATTCAGAGCAATGTCTGAACTTGGTTGTACTCACATTCTCCACACACCTCATTCAGCCCCCATCCCCACTTTCCAGATGAAGTGTGGTGAATTGTGCCACTCAGTCGCATTATTTGACATGATCATCATTAAGAGGAGGCATGAATGCACATGGTCAGATGTGAATAGTAGCTAACAGATAGAGCCATACTAGGTGGCGGCAGCTGAAAGACGCTTCTGCTTAAATTCAAAAAGTTTCAGCTTGAGTAACAGTGCTGCTATTCCAAGTTGACTCCATGAATGTAAAGAGATGGGAGAAGAGAGAGACCATGAGAGAAAGTATAAGATGAAGAGAAAAATAAGCGACACAGGAGTTCATGTTAATTTTTGGAATTAGTTTGGAAATTGATGTGTCAGAGCTGTCACACACAGTCTGAGCTTATTTTTACAGCTGTGCTGTCAGTCAGGGAACAAGTCCATTGGCTGCTTGTGGCCAAAAGACACAGACTGTAAAACCACTCTAGCAGTAAAAGCAAGCCAAAAATTTACTTAACATTGTATCAGTGGGATGGAGTTATCTTGGAGTGAGAAAGAACACTGAAAGTCTGGCACTGAAAACAGCCACTCCTAGATGCTCCACCCCCACTGTGCACCCAGTCTGGGATCTAATTGACAAGATTTGACTTGATATTACAAGCTATTTTTGAGTTGGTGACGCATATCCACATGCATATTGTGTATAATACTTTGCAGTTTTGCACAGTATCATGCCACAGTATATACTGCTTCACCATAACTTGTAAGATATCAGTGTCACATAACCTTCCCCTAAACACCAAGACATTCATTAATTTTGCATTTAAATAAAAATTAAGTATCAAGAGTATTGTGATAGCTTTGTTAGTCTATGCCTTTTTCTGTCCAATTGTAAAATGTGGTAACAGCTACAGATGATAAGCATAATCACATAAATCTTAGCATTCATATACGCTCGGGGTGGTGGTCATGGTTAAGCGGCTGAGGCACACTGACAATGGGTCTGAAAGGGGCTAATCTTCCAACTGGGCACAGGTGCTTTCCCACTTAAACCTACTTGTGGCTGACTGGAAATAAGCAGTAGGTTCAGCTTGAACAGGTTTCATGAAGAACAGAGCTAGGTGCCTTTACAGGTAGCCAGCACAAATGGAATGTTTTCACTGTATGGTCTGAGACTGTGAAAGGATATCTACAAAACTAACAATCAGCACATTCAGACTTATTTCAGTCACAGACAAACTAGTATAGAAGATGTAAGGAACTTCTGATAGAGGCTTCAACTTAAGGAAATCTGTGCTTCCTTCCCTCTGAAAATTCCAATGCTTTTAGATGAAGTGGTGTTTAATGGTTAAACAGTCATGCATACTAGTGGTTCAATATTGCCACAATGTGATTTGAGAAGGCAAATAATGAATTACAAGAATTGAGTGAAGCAGAAGTACTTTGGGAAAAAGGTCCATTTTGGGACTAAAAAGAAAACCCCAACTTCAGCTAGGTGGGGGCAGGGTGGAGGGTCTGTGACAAGCCTCCCTATTTCAATCGGCAGTATTTTCAGACCTCATCTTCTGTTGAGCAACGACAGAAAGAGGACCATAGCAACCCATGTAGACAGATGACAAGTGACGTTTCTTCCAGCTGCTCATCAGCACCGGTCTCATCACAGTCCTGTTCCTAACTAGGGGCATCCATCTCCTGGCAAATTAATGCCTATGTCCCTCTACTCCAGGGCAGGGTAGGGGCTGGGGCTGATGCGGTAGCTAAGCTAGCGGCTAGCGTTAGCTGCCATAGCAGATGAAATGCTGCAGATCTACAGAGGACAGTCGGGGGTTGCTGGCTGGGTGCTTTGACACTTGAAGTCATCGCTACTCATACGCCACACCAGGATTTAATCACCTACTGTATATATGATATTAACACGTTTAATGCAGCAACACATCCATTCATCCCATTTCTCCCTCCGTTTTGGTCCGCCGGCATCCTCTCCCATTCGGTGTCGCGCTTTAACTGAAGGCAGGTCGCGATACCACTGCTACTGAAACTTGCCTAGATACACACACTGTGATCGCATCCATCATTAGCCTCTTCACGTCCAACCCAACACTTTATGAATTCGCCATATGATTAGCTTTTCAAAACGACTCAGTCACAAGGTAAACTAGAAGGGCAGTGGGTTGATAATGGTAGATATGGAGGACATTGCATGGTACTAAAACGGAGTAACGTTATGATGTCCATCATCATAATGCACGTCTCAGCTACTGTAGATGCGACAGCCAAACCTTAATTGTTAAATACGGTCCATTGTCCTACAGACATTAACCCACCTATTTCACAGCAGCCTGCCCCTTGCCCGATTAGCCATCTTAATGGCAGTGGCAGAGGAATGGGGACACGAGGCCGGGTGACAGTGGCGAATAACGTACTAACGGGTAACATTCTGCAATACCGATTGACAATGAAGCCTCTAACACATATTTGATACGAGAGCCAAGTAATGCTAGACCCAAATGTATACATATATGAGAAAAAGACGACGCCGACCGGCTATTTCTTACCTCAGGCGGTGTGTCGAACCAAGTTCCGCGTAGCAGCCATGTTCGGAACCCCTATCTCCCTCCGTCCACACGAACCGAGCCCCCTCCCCCGGGTCTGTCGTCCCCTTTCCACAGCAGAAATCCAAATAATGTGTAGTAGAATTGTTTGCCGATAAAAAAATCCCGATTATATTAGTTCCCAGTAAAAATGCGTTATTCTCCGGAGCTCAGGGAGCGGGTTGTCGATGGGGGCTGATTGCCGGCGCAGCACAGCTAGCCGTGCCTAAGGGGAGGTGGGCAGCCCGCCGCCTAAACCACGAACACCTCAAACTCAGTCTTCTTTATATTCAGCCAACGTAATTCACTTGTTCGAATTCTATTCTTAGGTATATAAGATACAACCGTACAACTACAGCGTGGGTCAGTTGGATAAGCAAGCCCGTCAGCTTTTTTAATTAATTTAAAGGCAATAAGCTAACATAAGCTAGCTAGCTATTAGCTAGCATGCTAACAGCTAGCTGTCTAATAAAACACTGCCATTGGAATTTGGAGGAAGACAGTCCGCACACGGCAGGCTGTTTGGCGGGCAACGGTCAGCCGATGGACCGCTGGACAATACAGACAGACGCTATGAAAAACTTAATATATTTTAGCAGCCACAGCTGCAGATAGCTCTAAACTGGCCAGCCCCTCCGTGATGTTAATATCGGTCAAAGGAGAGGGGCTGCATTGAGAGCGCACTCCCGACACCAGGAAAGTACGGCCCAGCGCGTTCCAGAGAAATTTCCCACAAAATGGCTGCCAAAACAAATCCACCGCGGACAGTCACAAGTGACTTCCAAAAGTTACGCTTTATATGAGAACATGGTTGCGTAATTGTTTTTCATGTAGCAAACACGTACTATACGATCGCACATCAAGGTATTTGTGTACAGGTACGGAAAAAAGAGGCAGTTTGGAGTGAGCTGATGAAGTTAACTGTGTGAAACCTGGTTGAATTCCGCTGTGGTTACATTTGACCAGAGTCTAAAGCCAACAGCGAGTCTCAGAAGTCAGTTGAAACTGAGGACTGCAGCCGGACATCCCCGAGTTCTAAATCTAAGCTTAAAAAAACAATAGGAAATTTGGCCATCATCTCCGATACAAGTACAGGTGCTGGTCCTGCACCTATACTATCTCCCTAGGGCGTTCAATACTTTTTAAGAACCAGATTCACAGTGAATCCTTTTCAATGTCATAAGCAGGGATTGGATGATCTACAAAATACTTATCGCGATAAAAATACATACATTTATTGTGAATTTCCATTATTGAAATGATCATGAATATCATATAGCCTAACTTAAAAAGTTGTCAAGCTCGCCAGTGCAATGTGTTAGAATGTAAGATAAAGTGATTCCAGTACGTTTTCATTCCATTGCAACAGTATGATGTTTATTTTCATGATTATCTTATTGCAATTATTTTGGTCAACATAATGACACTTTTTGTACCAGCCAAATAGACCTTTACACAGCAGCCATTTTGACATAAAATAGTAGGGCAAACAGTTAGCAATTATACTAAGAAGCTTCCATTACATTTAGTGTTGCAGACTTTCAGTGAGCCAACATGCACAATACCAGCACCCACCAGCGTTAACCCCACTATTTCATGTCAAAATGGCTGCTTTAAAAAAAAAAAAAAAAGGTCTATTGCTAGTGAATATTAAAATTTTAATATGCAAGGTTATTTAGTGAAAGATTATAACCAACGAAAAATAAGAATCAAACATTTTATTAAAACAAAGTTGACGTTAAAAAGTTATAATAGTATCAAGTGAAAAAGTCACCATCTATTAATGTCTTTACACATTACACACAGGGTCAAGTTTACCACTAAACAGGTCAGCATAAGTTCCTGACATACAAAGTGGGTATTGTGCAGACATGACATGGTATCTCATGCGAATAGACTAAGTCCACACACAACATTCAAGACAGACAAGTTTATTTACCATACATAAGTTCTGACAAACTTATTATACACTAAAAATACTAGGCATCTGGGGTGTATGATGTGTGGATACTTGGAATATCCCTAACAATATGGGGCTTATGCAGTCTGAAATCAAAAGCACCTGGATAAAAGCAGTAATCAGAGGAGCACACTGCTTCATTTAAAAAAACAAACAAACAAACTTTAAGTAAAAGAAAGATCAGGAAACCGAAGCAAAAAGCACTGAAATAAAAAGTTACTGACTAAGCCAAAGAAACAAACACCTCACTGGAGCCAAAAATCAAACCAGGTAGTAGTTATTCTAAACAAAGTCTTTCAATAAAGCTATTCAGATAAACACTTGATTCCATCTTTTGAAATACTCCTCAGGTTAGAAAGAAACTTGATCACGGGTCAGGTGAATTCAAAAATCCCCAGCTTACTCATGTAAGGTCGGGGACACCCTACACAATACTGGATATTTACACATAATTTACATGTGACTGTTTGTCGTTGCACAGGAACACAAACCTGATAGATATACCAATCATTTGTGCTTAACAGATGTGAAATAAGGGTGGTCCAACCAGATTTGAACCATAACATATTATGAACCGCTAACATGACTTACCAGCAACCAGTGTGGCTGTAAATTGACTCCCAACCATATCAGTAATAGAAAAGGCCCTCCAGCAGTTGGTCAGTTAACTGTCAAAAAGGTACAAGGAAGCCAAATTTTACCCTCAGTGCTAGATATGCTTTCACCCTGTGTGAAGTCTGCAGACAGGCGGAGGTGGATAGGAGCGCAACAAACAGTGACAGTACGAAAATTAGATGGTGGTAATCGTTTCCCCGAGCTTTCTTCCACACCTCATTTCTTCTGTTTAGGTGGAGGTCTGAGAAGAGAAAAGAGAACGTTAACACAATATACATAAAGAGCAGGGACTTTATATGTAGAGCTGACTGCAGCAGTTTGGGAGGGTCTGGATGTATGCCACCATAACTGAACTCTTGGAACACAAGTAAGAAAGGTGAGTTTTGCACAATCCCAAAAGTACTAAGCTATTACTACTGTACAGTGGTGGAATCCCCCCCTTCTCCCTATGGTTAACTTGCTCATTGCGCACAGAAATAAAAAAAAAAAAACAGAACACAGAAGTATGGCTGCAGATTGCAAACTGGCCGTGGCGTACTGCATCTCAACAGCCCGGTTGGTTAACAGGGTTGCCAAAAGAAAGCGGGGTGGTGCTTCTACCTCCTGTGTGTCACTGGCGATTGGTTACAAAAATGGCAAATGAAAGGTTTGGATACAATTCAAATTGTAGACCTAATCCATAGCAAATGAAGGTTTTAAAAAGTAGTGAAGTAGATTACATAGTATAATTCATACAAAAATAAATAGTACAAGTACACGAAAAATAAGTAATGTCTTTGTGACATTAAAGGTGTGCTTTTACTACTGCTGCCAAATTAAGTGCCATCAATCATTCCAACCCGCCTGAATGTCTACTGCTTATGTTTATTGACCAAGTCACTATTCTACCAGACCATGGCAATTTACTTCTGACATTATAAATTATGACCAAACTATGAAAATAAGACCTTTAAGCAGTGATGCCCGACATTGTATTCAGGGGTGTATATGCAGGTATAGATTTTTATTTTTTATTATTTTTTTAAAAGTATATTTTTTGGGGCACTTTGGTTCAGTCCCTCCAGAAGAACGCGATTGTGCAATCGCATAATTCAATGCATAATCAGCCAAAGTCCGCATATTTATGCGGGGGCTGCATTTTTTCCAGATACGCCGCACTTTCGCCGCATAAACTGCTGATTTCCGCGCAAAATATGCAGGGCTTGCATGATTTGATAATCCATGCATTTTTGTTGCAAAAACGTCACATATATCTTAGAAACATTGAAAAGCTGCAAATCCCACGATGAAAACCGTACAGTTGTAAGTATATTAGTAGTATGTAAATTTACGTTACAGTAAGAGATTGCACTTTGTGCATTGGAAGCACTTATTTTAACAGAATGTGTTTTGTATAGCTACCTCTGTAAAACAGGAAGCACACATTTTATTTTTTTTTATATTTTATTTATTGATTTATTTTCACAGAAGTTGTAGCATATTCCTTTTGTAAAGCTACAGAACTTGTTTGACTCATCAATGTTTTGTAAGTTTGAGCCATGTGTTTATTAAGGTCTGAAATAAAAGATGAGAACTTAAATATTCCCAGCACTTTCTGTGATGCTTGCTTATCATAGGAAGTAATAAGAAATGACTCTTTACATTAAGGTAGTAGCCTAGTGAGAACAGGGTGTTGGGAATCACTTTTTTTCTCTTTTTCATCAAACCGCAGTTTTTGCAAGTTCCCGCATATTCCAACGCATTTTTTAAGAAATCGTGCCGCATAATCAAGGAGTCTTGCCCGCAACAATCACAAAAAAAAGCTCTGCATTGTTCTGGAAGAACTGTTTATTGCCTTTAATTGGTAGAGACAGCCGAAGGTAGACAGGAAAGGGGGGCAGAGAGAGGGCGGATGACACGCAGCAAGGGGCCGCAGATCGGACTCGAACCCTGGGCCACTGCAACAAGGAATCAGCCTCGGTACATGGGATGCCAGCCCTACCCACTGAGCTAACCGGCGCCTAGGTTAGATTTTAATTACAATAAATACAGTGTGTAGTAAATTAATATCTTCAACCAACACTTCTGACTGAATGGACACGAGTGCTGCACTACATTTACATAAACACACGATTGGGTGAGACAGCCAAATGGAGTAAAGAGATTACTACAAGCTGTGTGCCCTTTAATAAAACTTTGCTATTATGCCGTCAGTTTATTTTCACATGTATTATGTCGAACATTTAACTTTTTAGAGAGTCCAGATGTAGCAGTTTTACACAGTTTGTATAAGATTTATATTAGGTGTTGGCTCTGCCGCCATATTAAACTCCAGCTGCAATGTACTTATCCTCTTTCAACCACAGACACCATTGAGCTTCAGAAAATACAACTCCCTTTTGCACATTCCTGCTTGCAAATTATAAATAAGATTAAATAAAACAAAAGGTAGCAATTACCAGCTAGGTTAGAATGAAAAGACTGATACTTAACGATTTGTCAAGGCTAGCAGAACACCATCTTTATACACATGATCTATTAAGATACCAAGGGTTTGTGTCAATGCTAGGAATACGCCGATTATCTGCCTGATAAGTGTAGGTAACTTGCGTGAGCCACACCGTTCACTTGACGTAGAGCCGATGTACAATTTAAGAAAAAAAAGTTGAGTGTGAAACATTTAGGAGGATCTATTATCAGACATGGAATATAATATTCATAGGTATGTTTTCATTAGTGTATAATCACCTGAATATAGGGATAATTTTAATCTACACCAGCTGGGTCAGCATGTTTCTACAGTAGCCCATAACGGACAAACACTGGATCTAGATAGGGACTTTCGTGTTCTTTGTTGCCACCCTCTTATTCCAAGGTCAAAGTCAGACATCAGCAGTGTTCTTTTAGTTACAATATGAAACTTCACTGCTAGGTGCAACTCCAGCCTACACACTGGTCCTTTAAGGTAAAAACTATATAGTAAAACAAAGGGGGGTTTAGTTTTATATGGTAGCCCAACTTAGTCCTTTAACTTGCTGATGTACACCTAACTATAAGCTAACTAAGGAAATTGAGCAAGCAACGAGAAAAGGAATATCACATAAAGTAGATATTGACAAAACAGCTGGCAGTAATTTCACTTTAAAATGTTCAAACTCAGCCACACAGCAATTGGCTGATAGTTTCCCACCCTGGTAGAAAATGAGCTACTTCAAATATCTATGGGAGAATATGAGGTTGGACCTTATAAAAAAGGTCATTTCAAAATTATACTTAAGCCTCCAGCAACTTCAGGGAAGTGAGAGGCGATATTGGACAACAGTGGAAAACAAGCTCTCCTTATTGGAGATTATTCAGAAGAATGTTATTGTTATTTCTGTACTCCTGCCCTGTGTAATTTATGTAAATCAGGCTGACTGTGGGAGATCTTGTGGGCACAAATGTTCATATATTCTGGAGTTGTCGCTCTGCTTCTATTTTGGACTCAAATTCATAATATCTTGGTCACTTGAACTTGAATGGAGGAAGGATGATAAGTATTTGTTAGGATAACACTGGTGGCTTCTAAGAAAAGTCTGAAGAAAGAAATTGCTACCGTTAGTAAATGGATTGACAATATTTATGTTATGGAGAGAATTACTTACAACTTAAGAACCCTGGGTACATCTGTTGGGAACTGGCCTAAACAGGTCTACTAACATTCCACCTTTCAGACCAACCTAAAATATGCTTGTTCATGTATGTTAGGTTATTTATTCACTTATTAATCTCCCTTGGATCAGTAACAGGGTATGTATCAAGAAACCACAGTTAATCGATTGCACACCTATAAGATTTAATTTTATGTAATAATAATAATTTATTTAACGATCATTTTATACGTTTCCTACCAACAGTAGAAAAATTACAGGAAGATAGGGGACAACTGGATGTGTTAGAGCTATAAGCGACTTTACCTAAAAACGGGCCTGAAATATGAATTGAGGCAAAGTTGCCAGTGACAGTTTGTGTGCGTCATGGCAAAGGCAGTTGACACTTGAGCTGGCCAAGGCAGGGCAGAGAGCAGTGTGATGTTGATGTACCTGTAGATGCCCACCACCACAGCATGGTCTCTCTCATAGGGCTCCAGTGTGAGCTGTTCCTGTGGTTTCATGTTCTCAGCGCTCATCTTCTTCACTTCTGAAGCAAACACTGCCTCTGGAGCCGCTGTTGAGTCTATACAGTTAGCCTAAAAGTAAAACAAAACAAAACACTAATCTATAAAGCTGACATTACACTGTACAAATTCAAACTAGTCACAAGAGGCAGTGTGTTTCATCACAGTACTATACTGTGCAATTATACTGCAACAGCAGTATCAGCTTTTACAAATCCCTGTGAGCAAAAAGCCAGTAAGAGTCCTTTATTAATGTAATCCACGTAAAAAGATGGACAGACGGAAATAAACACTAAACTGAATACAGTTCATTCAGGTAACTTAGGAAAAGGCTGCACCTAAGCAATGAAGGCAGGAGAAACTCCCTCAAGACAGCGACAGGTCCAAAAGATTACAAAGGGTTTGCCGTTTTATACGTTATCATTTTGTAGAAGATACTCAATATTAAATGACTCCAACTGGGGACAAAACACTCGACATCCCTGCAGTCACACAATTGGCTTTGTTATTGTGCACCACACAATAACTGGAATTTGTACTTTGTGTTAAAGGTTGAGGTGGAGGTTGTACCTTGATGGAGATAACAAAGTGCCCTCCATTCTTCAGAAAGTTGTGAGCGTTCAAAGCAACAATCCTTGTCTGGTCAGGCTGGGCAACATCAGCAAAAATCACATCCACCATACCTAGGGAGAGACAGACCACATAGCATCTGTTGAACATTTATGTTGCTATGCATCCAGTCTGACTTCAGTCTTTTCCAATTTTTCTGGGTTTCTGAGACTGATTATGAACTGTATTAATTGGCAGGGAATTCGTTCAACATGACACAACTTAAATCTATTCTGGGTTATTGGGAGCAGGTTAGAGCTTAACAGTGATTCCACAGAATGACGGTGGAAGGTATCTTTCTATAGCACATTTCTTATTCTCGCATTTTAATTCTACTCAATTATCCACCTTATTTTGGCATTTTATTTTTCACTCGATATTTTTGCTTCTCTCACCATGCATCACACAGGCTGTTAACGAGCCTACAAAGTAAGAGGGCAGACACATAATCGGTTACTTTGTATGCTAGTTAATGACTGATGTGAGAATTGGTACCTAGCTTAACAATATTGACCCAGTCCCTGTCAGTGGTTCTTGGTTCTAGACCACTACAAAAAGGTGTTTTGTGGCTGTCAAAACTGAAGAACTGGTTCGAGATAAGGCACCGTCTCCGAATAAACCCTAAACTGTCTTTGTGGAAAAGGAGCGATTGTGCTCCTTAAAAAAGGGCTCTAAAGTCTACATGGCTCTGGTAAACACTGACCAAAAATATGGTAAAAACAGTATTCATGGTTCCGTTTGTTCTTCCAGAAAAGACAGGTATTAGAACCATGACGACTTCCATCAAGACTACCTACCAACCAGCATGCGGTATTTGTGTGGGTGCCGAGCGTCTTCGATGATTGGAATGATGTTGGTGCGTTTCTTTGCCACATTGAGAAGGTCCCGACCTGATCGATGGGAGAACTCCACAGCATAAACCAGCCCTTCCTGTAACACACAACACATTTACCCTCAGGAAAATAACACCAAGTCATCATTAAACTAATGTAAGGCTATGCTTAATGTTACTTTTAGTTTCAACTGTGCCTTACAAGACTCATTTAAAGTGTTACGTGTGTTTTGCAGACCCATAGATCAATCAGTTTAACACTAAAACCATGGCTTTTTTTTTTTTTACTTTTCACTGACTGGGGGGGCTTAAAATAATTTTTTGTTCACCTGTATTCCACAGATTTTCTTTATAAGAATAGATAGTGCTAGAACCACTTGTTAGGACATACAGAGCTTTAATTTCACAGATTAAACTGATTGTAAAATAGTATAAAGTTTCTGTGAATATTTGGTGGGAAAATGGCCAGGTGGTGGATGTGTTGTTTTAAATGATAATCAATTAAATCTTTGAGAACTAAAGAGGGTGTAGTACTCACTGGTCCAACAATGTCAGAAACATGGGACACTGTAGTGCCAGACGCAGCTCCCAGGTACATGACCTTTGCTCCGGGCTTGATATGGATCTGGTCTACTCCTCCCAAGATGGCTGCTGCCAGCTTGGAGCGGAACGGATTCCAGGCTCTGTATTCAATCTTAGTCTCTCCTTCCTAACAGATAAAGAGAGAAAGAGAATCCGAATCCTGCTCTCACCTCTGGCCAAAACACCAGAGACAATAGCTGCTGATTTCACAAGACCAGGACTCAAGCTTTAAAACTGATGCAGAGCATCGTATTTGACACATAATTTAGCCATTATGTAACAAACGACTTAGTAATTATGGATTGTAATGCGATATCTACACTGTCTGACCTCTGTGCTACTGTCAAATACAATCTCACCTCCACACTGATCCTCTTCTCTCCATAGACTGACTCTCCTACCACCATGTTCTTGGTCACCAGGGCATCCTCCTTCCCTCTGGAAATGAACACTCCTGAGTGTATACACACACACACACACACACACACACACACACACACACAGTGGACAAATTGTACTTGCATAATTGTACTTAGTGTCAAAATTTAGAATATCCAGTGGTGCTGTATAACTAACATTTTCATTGTTACTGCAAATTTTTATTGGTTTAAAATATTGGCTTCAGCCCCAAGAGATTAATCCAGAATAACAACAAACCTTCGTGTCTGTGGGGCTCAACCAAGACCTTCTTCCCTCCTCCAAAGCCTCCTCTTCCGGCACCCCTGCCTCCTCTTCCTCTCGGGGTGCCTCTGCCACCCCCCCGGCCCCGAAATCCTCCACCGTCTGGGGACTTGAATCCTCCACCTGAAAAAAAACCCCGAAACAAACATTTTATTAGGAGGTACTGAGGTCAAAATTAGAAACAGTGTGTACCCTGGTAATAAAAAATGCTGATGCTTTTATTGGAATTGACAGGTTACACTCAAATTTGTTCAGTTCATAATGGTAACTTGATAACTAATACATGTGTCTTTCATGAGAACAGTCTGTGGCTCAGACACAGAGCGGGTCGTTCTTAAATCGGAAGGTTGTGGGTTCGATCCCCAGCCCCTGGTGCCACATGTCGAAGTATCCTTGAGCAAGATACTGAACCCCAAATTGCTCCTGATGCTATGCATCGGTGTGTGAATGTGTATGAATGTTAGTTTCTGTTCGATGGACTTTGCCATCACTGAGTGAATGTGTGTGAAAGGGTGAATGTGGCACGTAGTGTAAAAGCGCTTTGAGTGGTCGGAAGACTAGAAAGGTGCTATACAAGTACAGGTCCATTTACCATCTTCTTGTGCCACATTTGATCAGTTACAATAATTTGGATGATGTGATGTTTACAACACAGCCTTACCTCTTCCTCCTCTGAATCCTCCTCGTCCTCCCCGGTCTCCAAATCCTCCTCCAAATCCTCCTCTACCCCCACCTCGTCCTCCACCTCGTCCTCCTCTGTCCCCACGAGGACTGAACCCTGACAAACAAACAGATAATACGCAATTCAGCTGAGTTTATAACATGTGTATAAGGTGGCTACTAGGGCTGCCCCCTAATAGTTGACTAAACCGCTGAAAAGAGTCTTGGTCAGCCCACTTTTTATCAATAGTCAAACTGTTGCAGAAAAACTAAAGAAACTCCCTTTGGGAGCTGCGCTGTGCCACTAGGACTTAACAAAATCGGTACACATGTGTCGTATTCAGCCTCTTGGGCCCAAACCCTCAACAGGAAATGGGCCATTTTATTTTTTTGCAATGTACAGGCTTTTTAAAGATGGAGAACATAAGCTAGTTTGATGACACATGGCCGCAGGGTTGAGAACTTTTTGCCCTAGATCTGGGAAATACACATGGTTCCATACGGGCTAAAGTTAGCAGGAGCTACAGTTCACTTTCGAGCCTCGTGGTGCAAATTAGATGAAAACAGCTCCACCTAACACCTCCGTTTAGCTCGTAAACAGCGCCGATACATGCTAAAGTGTCACACAAATACGTATTATAGTTGTGTCGCAGTTGGTCGTGGCTAGTTCGTCTGGTTTCTGCTGCTGGACGGTAGCGCAACACGTGGGAGACTCCACAGCGTGCTGCTGGCGAACAGCTCCCACTCTTATACCATTAACGTAACGGGAACGTTATCGTTCGGCTTACATGTCACCCGTATTAAGGGAAAAGGCGTACACATACTTGGCAACAGTTTTCTTTCTAATGAGAACTGTTTTCTGTGAGGTTAGCAGGGCACATGGCGGCGCAGGCCGAGCACGCCGAGCACGCAGCACTTTTAACTTCCAATACACGGCGGACAGGTTGAGCATACAGTACACCGTCTAACTGTCCTTAAACACACCATCACAAGCGCTGTGCTGTTACTGTACCTGGTCTCATGTTATCTGCTTTAAAGCGTTAAATCGGTGCTGCCAGTGGGATGATGGGGATGATTCTTCTTCTTCTTCTTCTTCTTCTTCTTCTTCTACTAAAACTCCCTCTGAACGGACTGTGTGTGACCACATGTGCAGATGCGACACTGCTCTTCTTCTTCTTTTCGTTAGTCTTCTTCTTCTTCTGGCTTCATACACGGGTTGCAACCACGAGTAAGATGCATACCGCCACCTACTGTACCGGAGTAGTAGCATGTGTTATAGTTTTACGGGACTACTTTACAACATTAAAATTAATTAATTAAATTATTAAACTAAATCCTATAATATAACCCAATATCCTTCAAATATTCAACAATACAAGCTTTCTGTATATCCCAGTGTTCCAAATACACTAAATGTTTCCCTTTTCTTCCTGCCTGACTTATCTTTTGATTTAACCTTATCCTCACTTTCCCATATTTTCTACCATGTAACAGTATTATGTTCTACACTTTGTGTGATTTTACATTCCAAACATTTATCTGATTGACTTTTACCTAACAAAAACAATGTTTTATTTAACCCTGTGTGGTCAAACCTCAGGCTGGTTAAAACGGTCTCCTCCCTTATATTCTTTCTAATCACATCCTGTGCATTGATAGATTTCTGCACCCTGCCATTTCCTCATCATTTACTTTTTGATCGTCCTGGTTAATTTTTTTTGCTATTTTGTCTGCCCTCTTATTCCCTTTTATGCCTACATATGCCGGTACCCAGCAGAATCTATCTGAAGCCTCCACAATCTAAATAAACTTTAAAAGATTTCTAGCATTAGATGTTCTCTATTACATTTAATATTTTGAATATTAAAAAGGGCTGCTACAGAATCAACACAACACAACACAACCCTCTGTCTGGTTTTAGTTCCTCCACCCACTGCAACCCTACAATAATCACCATCTTTTCTGCCGTGCAAACTTACAGCTGATCAGGTAATCTTTTCCCAATACATTCATTGTTGGTATGTATATTCCTATGCCTACCCTATCTTCTTCATCTTTAGACCCCATATACATATCTAAATAATTATATTTACTTCTTGCCAGGTATCCTTTCCCACTCTCTTCCCATTGTCTCTTTAATTATATTCAAATCTAGCTTAGGTTTTGGAAACAGCCAAATAGGGATATTACTAATAGGAGTAGGGGAGATAAAACAAATATTCTGTATTCTATATTCCTCTGATTTAGCTTTTGTTACCCAGCATAAGCCATTACCTTGAAAATAATTATACTCCCAACATTCCTGAACAACACTAGGCAGGGTTTTTATTACCACACCCATGTAGATGACTCCAGTATGTAAGCATGAGTTTATATTTTCTTAGGTCTAAGAGCCCTTCTAACTCAACCTGAATTGCCTTAGTCGGTGTTGATCTCATTGCACCAGCACAAATCATCAATGCTTTATTAATTACTCTATCCTTTTTAATTAAATGTGTTTTAGCTGCTGCTCCGTACACAAAGTACCCATTATCTATTACTGACCTCATCAGAGCCCTATCCCCAGTCTACTGCTAGTTTATAACTTTCTTACATTTTGATTCCACCTTTCCCATATGTATTTTCCATGTACCCTTTTTGTCTAACCAAATACCCAGATATTTAAAATGATCTACTTACTTACTCCATATTTTGGCCATATATATTTTCAGGTTCTGTTTGTCTATCCCTTTCTTCTTGGTAAATAACATATGACAAGACTTACTTGGAGAAAGCTTAAAGCCCCAATTAAATGACCATTGTTCTACTTTTCCTATTGCTTCCTTTATTTTACTTATCACACTTGTGGGATCTCGTCCTCTTGCCCAGATGGCCCCATCATCTGCATACAGAGCTGCCCCAATCCTTCTGTCCAGATTCATAAAAAAAAAAAAAACCTGAGTCTAACTGGGACTCAGCTATTGATTTAAGTATTATGGTATACACAAAATCACAGGTAACACACATCACAGGACATGATCCTAAAAGAACACAGCTGGCGTCTGACTTTGACCTCGGAATAAGAACGGGTGGCAACAAAAAACACGAAAGTCCCTATGTAGAGCCAGTGTTTGGTTTTCCTGTATGGGCTTCTGTAGGAACATGGCGGACTTCATGGAAGCTGACAACAGCTGGTGTAGATTAAAATTATTCCTATATTCAGGTGATTATACACTAATGAAAACATACCTATGAATATTATATTCATTTCTCACAATAGATCCTCCCAGAATGTTACACACTGGACCTCAGTACGCTGAGGTCTCTATATCATTGCATGGCCGAGGAAACTCCTGAATACCTCACCACTGTCAGACTCTGTTCTTGATGCCTGCTAGTTATTGATCCCTTTCTGTTTGGTTTTTGTGGTCTTGTTTTTCTTCACTGGCCGCCTGTTGCTAACCTCTGCTTTAGAAATTGGCCAGTGGTCACTGGCATGAGGTTTGTCAGATAAATAAACCTTGGCCCCTGCGCACACAGCCTTTGTATTCCACATGGCGCTGTTATCAGGATGGAAGTTGTGTTGAACTCTTGCATGGCGAGGGCGCCATCTAAGTTAGCGTCTGTCTTCGGCAGTGTCCCATACATATATATTCCCCACAGATGATACCGGAAGTAGCCGATGTGTCATCGCCACGTCACTGTCGTCAAACAGGAGGAAAGATGGCGAGCGCCTATGAGAGTTTCAAGTTGTAAGTGCTATTGGTCAATATCGCAACAGCATTTAGCTTTACTGTACTTGGATAGTGAATAAAGAGGCGGGAGTCTGTGTACAGACCTCAGACTGACACGGCTAACGATAAACCTTCTAAATACGTGACGTTAAATTGTACCTTGTCTGCGCGGACATCGTGTTACTACTCCTGCAGCCAATGCTATCTCTGATTACAGAGAAAGTTTCCTTCTGTAGTCATCACTTGTAATTGGGTGGATCTGAAAGCATGAAATACGTAATAGGCCGTAATTTAACCGGGTTCTCGTGCTCCCGAAGCTAACGTTAGCTACATTTGATGATACTTAAAGCAGCTGCTTCAAGTTAGTTGCAGTTAGCCCAAATAGCTAATAGGTGTTTTCTGTCCGCTCCCAAACCCGGTTTGTGCTCAGTGTTATCCGCCTCCAGCTGTCTCTGTATGGTCCGTTATTTTCTATGAGTGCAGCTGAAGTTGAAGTTTGCCTCTGTGTTACCAGGCGAACTACACCAGAGAAGTTTTACATAGAGGCTTGTGATGATGGTTCCGAGGATGTCCTGGCTATTGACAGAGTATCCACTGAGATGACTCTTACAGGTAAGAGAGAGGTTGTGTGACTGAACCTCTGCACGCATTTTGTTGAATGAAAACACACTGATCAGATACAAAATCTACACACTACAAGCCGTAGCCTGATTTATTGGTCAGATGTGTTTTTTTGTTTTTGATTGGCTGTTATTATTTTTAAATGTGGCCCAGAACAGATTTGAGTGTGAACAGGATGACAACGTCTCACTAAGTGACATATTTTATGGATATTTCATATTATATTCAAAACTGTGCTATGAATCAATCAAAACAGTGGACTCAGTAACAGAATGAACTGTATGATGTATTTTTTTTATGATTTTTAACAATCATAAATACTTAATAGGGTTCTTTTTTGACAAATGCATTTTTTTTTCTTGTCCCTGACATTTTGCCATTGTTCTATTAGACAATTTACTTAACCAAATGTTGAGATAAAGGCGTACATATTTTTTTAGGTTCCCTTACTTTAAAATGAAGAAGGCTTTGCGACCCCCCATGAAGCTTTGGCAACTCCAAGTGGGGGTCCCGACCACCAGGTTTGGAACCATTGCTCTAGACCAGGGGTTTTCTAAGTCTGAGACTGTGGGCCTACCCTCAGACAAAGATTATTACAAGGTCTAATGTATTAATGATGTGCACAAAACCATGCGCACACCTATTCCCACAGATAAACTGGCTTTGTCTGCTAAACTGCATCGGAGAAACATAAGTATATATAAAACTGTGTACACATAAAGACAGAAATATGCATACATATTCTTTTATGTACTTTAATAAAGCTGCACATATTTCTGACTTTGTTTTATAAATCTCAATCCTTGTGGATGAAACATTTAAACAACTATTTGCATATTGATACTTGTGTCTACTTCACCGCTGCTTAAAGCACCCATATCACTAATTCACCATATGTAGCTGTAAACTAGCATCACAGTAATATATCAATCATCATTATTAGACATCAGAAGGATGATTATAGCGCTTCTATTGAAACTGATTCACAATCCAGGATCAAATAAATAGAAGATCATTTACAGGAAATTTATGAATGATAAAATTCACCATCATAAATAATTCAAAATCAGGTTTATAAATACACCAATGAGTGATAGCTCAGCTTGTTTCACTGATAACTTAAGATCCAGATGTCCAATGACTAAAATCCTTCATCCAGTTCAAATATAGAGTAAAAAACCACCAAAAAAAACATGGCGTAATGTAGCTCAGATGATTCTACTGTTGTTTGTCTTCTGAACACACTGTCACAAACTATTGTTGCATTCCTGCTGTGGTCCTCAGTGAGGAGGGACATCCATGCATCCGCAGAGACCAGGCCAATATATGGACTCATGGGGACTATACGATTGGTGGCAGGTAAGTTCAGTATGTAATGCAGGAAGATTATAGTATATTCCAGCCAGCAACCATCAGCTATTAAATAACTGTGAGATTCCAGCCGTGTGTTATGTTCTGCTGTCTGGTTTCTAACAACGGGTTTGTGTTAGGCATGTACCTGGTTGTCATCACAAAGAAGAAAAAGGTGGGAGATTTGCTGGGCCATGCTGTGTGGAAGGCTCTGGACTTTGACATCATCTCCTATAAGAAGACAATACTACACCTGACAGACAACCAGGTAGGATATTATGTATTTTTATGGTAAGTCTCTGGCAGGTTATCTCCCTGCTAAATAACTGCACAGTGCTGTGTTAGACCTGGAGAAAGGTCTGCCTACACTCATTATTATTCTGCTATGGGGGAAAATCCTCTGGCTTGTTGGTATTTGTTTAAAACAATCACAATCATTTTGGGTGGCACTAAGACCAGGATGCAAAGCTGGTGCCCCTGCAAAATAGAGTTAGGGGTGAACTTGTTTTGAAGAACATTTGCACGTGGTGAAGCAAGCACGGCCCTTAAAATGGCTAATTAAGAGAGTCCCACTGGTATTCTTCTGGTGGTCTCCGTTAGGGGTGTTGCGATATACCCGTACTCACAGTAACCATGATATTTAACTATTGATTAGTTATTAAATTAAATGTTGATGTTAATAATGCACATGTGATCATCCCTTTGTACTAAGCCCAGTGCCTTTAAACCTTTCTGTTTCTTTCAGTTCAATCTTTGTGGTTAACACCTTTCCACCAAAGTAGCTCTGGTTCTTGACAGAGGACGCTGCTCAATGCACAACGACCTATAGAATATGACAAGCCTACTGTCGTTCCCAAGGGAAACCTGCTTTTTTGGGGGTTTCAAAAACACTCCAAATAGGTGCTTGAACCACAACAGAGCTTGTTCCCTGTTAGTGGAAAAGGCCAGAACCTTGGTCAACTTTCTCTTTCCTGTGCTTAGATATGCTCTGTGCTAGGCCAATTGATGTTGGAAAGACAAACACATTTATGAACCCTGGTTGCGCAAAACCAGGAAACCTCCAATTACTAGACACCCTACCACCTGCCCTTCTCCAGTCAGTGTGTTTATCTCTCACCTCTGGTCCTGGATCTGTCTCTTGTTTCAGATGCAAGACAACAAGACTTTTCTGTCCATGATCAACAATGTGCTTCATACAGATGGCTACTACTTTGCAACAGACTACGACCTGACCCACACTCTGCAGCGCCTGGCCAATACTAGCCCTGAGTTTCAGGAGATGAGCCTTCTGGAGAGGGTAAGACATACTCATAGAGCTACAGAGCATGTTCTGTAATCTCAATCCTAATCTTAAATACTTTTTTTCATAACACTTCCAAGGTGTTTGTGTTCCATTGTGTTTAATTAAATTATTGATGTGTTGCAACAGTACACTCAACTCACGATTCAATACGATTGATGATACTGGGTTCAAAATAGGACTTTCTCACAATTTTAACAAAATAAGGCTTCTGTTCCTATTCATTACCAGGGTTCCAATGTATCCTGGAAAATCTGGAAAACCTGAACATTTAGAGACTAGTTTTCCAGTCATAGAAATACCTGGAAATTAATTAAAGTGACCAAATATCCTGCAAATAATAATTTCTGCTCCCATTCAATTGAATTGAATTCCATTTTATTTGTATAGCGCCAATTCATAACAGAAGTTATCTCAGGACACTTTTCAATTAGAGCAGGTCTAGACCGAACTGTATAACATTATTTACAGAGACCCAACAGTACCACCATGAGCAAGCACTTGGCGACGGGGGCAAGGAAAAACTGCCTGTTAAGAGGTAGAAACCTAGCACAGACCCTTCGGCTCTAGGTGGGTGGTCGTCTGCCTTGACCAGTTGGGTTGAGAGAGAGAGAGACAGAGAGAGAGACAGACAGGTGCACAGCAACAACAGTAGCAACAACTACACTAATAGTAGTGACTGAGGATGATGAACACGACAACAGCAACGATGCAATAATAATACTTATAATAATTAAAGCTGCAAGCAGCATTGGGCGGGACCTCGCACTCCACGCAACTCGGGCGCTACGCCACTTCACCCCACACTCAAGCCTTCATCGCCGGAAACTCAATTCAAAATGGCCAACTTTGACGGCACACTACGGTCACGCCCTTCAACGTACAGTCACAAAAAGAACGGCGTTCATTGAGAAAACATTTTTGACTGTACTGACCAATTGTGAAGCAGATCCGATAAATTCCCTAGAGGTGGTTCGTTCAAATACAAGGCGAAAAAGTGAAAATGACAAAGAAATTGGCTGCAGAGAGTGAAAATGAAAATGAAAATAGCTGACTTCCTGTGGGTTTTGGGGCATGGGTCCAAGAGGCTTTTCTGTAGATCTCTGCCTACCGAGTTTCATACATATTGGTGAAACATGGCGCCGGGGCTGCTTTGTTGAAATACTGTAGACACCAGTCTACACGTGTCCTGTGAAATTCATATTCATAACTATTACGGTCTCCGCTGAGTTTTACCCTGCCAGCAGAGCGCCACCCAGTGGCATGGTTTTTTTCGAAATCGGACAAAAGCGAATGGATGGAACACGAAAACGTCATTTTTGGACATTTCGCGCTCTAGCGAAAAAGAATCTAGGCAGAAGTTGCCCACACCGGGAGATGCAGCTCCATTCACTGAATGCATGGATATAAGGTTTTTGAATGTGAGACAAACGATGCAGGAGTTATTAGCCTAAACCTACTTTTCTTAATAGTAGCGCCACCTAGTGGCCTACCCCAAAGCAACCATAGCATTTCAGAGACTTCACCAGGCCTGACTACTTTGCCAAATAAAATGGACTTCTCGTATATGTTCAGGGGGTCAAAAACGCAGTCAAAGTTCTGAATAATAATAATAATAAACTGAGCAATTACAATAGGGTCCTCCCAGTGTTGACACTGGCACCAGAATGAGCGCAGAAAGAGAGAGGAAAAGAGGAGCTCAGTGCACCATGGGCATCCATGTCAGTAAAGAGCTGTTAACACCACTTGAAGTAAACGTTCGGTGTCAAGTCTATTGTGAAAATGCGGAAAAAGTGTCCCATAAACACTGACCACTATTGTGAGCCAGTGCTGTCCTGTATCGTCAAGAAAAGGTCCTGGAAAATTATTTCTTAAGAAGAGTGGGAACCCTGATTACATGTTATGAGTTGAAACCTTGCTTCCGTATTCTGCCCTTCTGCATTTGGTGTTCATTTCTTGATTAGGTGAGGAAATGGACTCATAGTCATAGTTCATCAGTAGATTTGTCATAAGATCCTTCAGTGTTAATACCACTACCAGGGCACAAATAACTTCCACACCTGCAACTACAGGTAGTACACAGAGTAGCACATTTTCTCCCTTTTGGTAGCCGTCACTACTCTGTTCTATGGATTGGCAGAGAAATAATGTTAATTTACAGTTTAATTCACAAACACTTGAAAATGTATTTTGATTGTTGTACAGTAGTAAAAACATATTCTATTTCCATTGCTAATTCTAAATGTACAGATGTATCACTGATGTTCAGAACTATGTGTTTGTTTAAGTCTTTTTTTGTTCCTTACAGTCGGCCTGTCCAGGTGTTGGCTATGTATTTGACTCTGAATTAACATGTGGTAACTGTCCTTGTTCCAGGCAGATCAGCGCTTTGTCTGGAATGGCCACCTGTTGAGGGAATTCATTGCACAGCCAGAGGTAAGACAAAATTACTTTCACAGCATTTATTTTTACTTCTCACTATGGGAGTTTTCTCAGTAACATTTCTGAGAATTCTGAAGTTATAGTTTGGCACTGTCGTCAAGTTCAGCTGCCTTCACCACAGGAAGGACAGTAGTCTGGCTTCATGACACCCACTGGTTCGTCTATACCAGTGGGCTATAAACACCAGGAGCCTGAAGCAAATATATGGCTGCTGAAATGTATTGCTATTATAACATGAGTAAAAACACCTTTTCATTGTGTCTCTCTGATGATAATGACAACAACAGGGAGAGGTAATGAAAAAGTGTTATTCTTTATTATGTATATAGTCATTATTTTTGAATTTCTTCAGCAGAGGCCTCTGGAAACTGCCAGCATATTCTTTTTTACTACTGTTAGAAAAATTGGGACCAGCTAATGTCAGCTTATCATGCCTACTCTGCAGTAATCGGCCAGGTGTGTGGGGTTTGAAAATAGGCAGAGTTTAAATATCTCTCTCAAGCTCAAGCTCTAATTTTATTCATCAGTAATGAATGTGAAGGAAGGTCAGTGTTGCTTGGTTCAGTGTAATGATTGATTGTCTCATTAACAGCCTTCTTCCAGGGGCGTAACTTGTGCTTCAGAGAGAACAGGGTGGGATTATCTGATTGTGAGACATCTTGTTTGATTCAGAGAACTGAGGTTACGTTTTATTTCAGAAGAATATCATGACAGTAAAGCATTTCATCGTCTAACACTGTTCCCATCTTACAGTTACACAAGTTTGTGTATCCTGCTGTCCATGGCTGTATCCTTTCCTGTTGTTGTCTAACTGCCACAGTTTACTCCTCCGCTCATAAAATATAAAATTACAATACTATTTTAGTGACTCAACATGTCATCTGAATGTAGAATTACATAAAGTTAGTCCAGTTTATTGGAGCCTTTATGGCGTATTTTTAGTTATACAACTTCTAAAAGTTTTGTCCTTGACTATGATGATTATTAACTGTCTGTCAGATCTAGAAAAACAACAACAGTCCACAAAACAGTGCTATAGTATTTAAAAAAATAAAAAATCTTGCTATATTTTTAATGTATATAACACTGACTCATTGCTATTTCATGTCAGTACTGTTGTTGCTTAACAAATATGTTGACTAGACATCACTATGAAGTCAAGCTGCATCAATGGAAAGGTGTTTGAGTGGAGCATTATCTCCAGGAGGAGCTGTTTCAGAGCTGGTGTCCGCTACCATGTCCGAGGTAACACTACTATTACTCCACTGACCCTCATTTCCACTAGAGAAATACCTATATTCTTTCTGTCAGTATTTCTGAAGTGAACTGTCTTCAGTGTGTTCTTCAGCAGAAGCATTTTCCAATATTGATACCTCAGCTGAGGAGCATTATGTTTACTGCAGTTTGTTTAGTTGTCTGTCTGTCAGCAGGATTATGGCAAAACTACTGGCCAGATGTAGAGGTAGAACAATACAAATACAGTTTAGTACAGCACTACTACAAAACAAAGTTACTAAGTGCCTAACACATGTAAAAAAAAAAGACTAACAGTAAAACAAAATAATAAAACATACTGCAAAATCAATCACACTGCGGCAAAGAATATAATTCAAACAGTTATAAATATACGAATTATAGAATAAAACACTCGTAGCTAATATTTGAAGGATGTAGTCAAGGATGAACCCATTGAAATTTTTGAGTGGATCTGAATCATTATTGTTCATTTTTGTTAAAGCCTTAGACACACTACATGACTTTCAAAGAGGCCAGATCTCTGGACTGTTCACACTACACAACTTTCAGTATTGTAAACGGAAGTCTTAAAGTTGTCGTGATTTTCGCACTACTTGACAGCAAGCAACAGGGGGTCACACACAACAAGATCTTTCACAACTAGGCTGACTGGTCTCCAAACAACGTTACATCAGGAGTCATTCATTGTATTGTATTGTATTACTTTATTAATCCCACAACTAGGAAATTCCCTTGACACAGCAGCATTTTACGTGAAATAAATAAATAAATACACATATTAAAAAAAAAAAAACTATGGTAAAGTGGTAAAGCTATGGTATGGTGGTAATTTGAAAAACAGAAACTACAACATTGATCAGGTGTTGTAGAGTCTGACAGCGGCAGGGATGAAAGACCTGCGGAACCTCTCCTTCTTACACCGAGGGTGTAACAGTCTGCTGCTGAAGGAGCTACTCAGGGACCCCACAGTGTCATGTAGGGGGTGAGAGGTGTTGTCCATGATGGATGTCAGCTTCACTAGCATCCTCTTCTCACCCCATAGACTTCCTCTGTGGAGTCCAGAGGACAGTCCAGGACAGAGCTTGCTCTCCTGATCAGTTTATTGAGTCTCTTCCTGTCTCTGTCTATAGTGCCCCCTCTCCAGCAGACCACAGCATAGAAGATGGCTGAAGCCACCACAGAGTCATAAAAAGTCTTGAGGAGAGCCCTGCTTACTCCAAATCGACTGGTGGAGGTCAGGTGTTGAAGATGGTAGGCTGAGTAGTGGAGGGGCAGGGGGAGCTGACCAGGGGAGTTGTGAAGTGGGAGCAGGGTGGATGAGGGAGGGAAAGGAGGCAGAATCAAATCTGTTAAAAAACATATTAAGTTCAGCTGCCCAGTCCTTGTCCCTGCTGGTTTGGTTTCTTCCCACTCCTTTTCCATGGCCTGAGATGTTCTGCAGCCCTCTCCAGACATCCCTGGTGTTGTTCTGTTCCAGCCACTTCTCCAGTTTCCTCCTGTAGCTGTCCTTTCCCTTCCTGATCTTTTGCCAGAGTTCCTTCTGGACTCTGCGCAGATCCCCGATCTAAAGACCCTTTTCTTTCATTCAGCAGGGCCTTGATCTCGGAGGTCACCCAGGGTTTGTTGTTGGGAAACACCTTATCAACTTGGAGGGCACAGTGTTCTCCACACAGAAATTAATATAGTCTGTAATGCAGTGGGTCATACTGTCAATGTCATTTCCATGGGGGCTACAGAATGCATCCCAGTCTGTTGTCTCAAAGCAGTCTCTGAGCCTAGCACTGTTCTCCTCAGACCACTCCTTCACAAAAACACCATTAATAACAAGCACATCATGTTCTAAGTAAAATAAGATTATAAACAGCCCCATCAGCCTGCGTAAGTAATCAATACACACATTATTAAACCATTAATCAAACAAATAACTATTAGCAGTCAACGTCAGACAACATTATCATACTTTAGCAGCTACCTTGTGTTTCTGTAGTGGTGACAAGACTCTATTCTGTACAGACTTTACATTTTGTCACCTCAGCGCGTCAAATATTAATATTTGTCACTAAAATAATCTCCATAAACTGTTGGCTAGTGTTAATTTAGGGCCAAAATGGTTTAGTGTGAACTCTGCATAACATTGCAAGGGAGATCGCATATATAGTGGTTGCACTTGATATTTGCAGATTTGCATATCATAGACCACTGTACTGTTGGCCTCGGTAGAGGTCTGCACTCTCCAAGTAGTTTAATAATGATTTGTGTGTGTTTTTTTTACTAACATAATGAACACACATTTGCCACTCACTGATGAGAGGAAAAATTAATCATGCTGTGCATACAGACAGACAAAACCTGTTATAAATGAAATGCATCATTACATATTGGTTTCATGTTCATTGTCACTAAATTTGGCATTTATATACATTGAAGTGGTATTCATGTTACCTGCTCCAGCTATAATACTCTAATCAGGCACATCCAGTAAATATTAACTCAATGAAAAGCTAATTGTCTGCATTACTGGAACTTTAGATGTATTACTTCTCAAGCAGTTCTTTGTTTTTCTGTCTGTAGGCGTTGATTCAGAAGGCCATGCAGCTAACTATGTGGAAACAGAGCAGATAGTGCAGTACAATAGTGCCAAGGCTTCGTTTGTTCAGGTGAGTCATAACAGAGATGTTTGATAGTGTCTGCCATTCAGACTGGCCACAAGAAAGAACTGAACTATCATTATTCAATCCCCCCATAGTTGTCTTCACTGTCCACACAGTCCACATTTCTGTTGTGGTCCAGTTGTCACAGGTCTCAGGTCCAATGTGGACTGTGGATAACATGGACTGGTGGTTGCAGGGGGTGCTGTAAACCCACTGCAAAACTGTGGCTTTAATAGTCCTTGTATATATGTTGTAATGAAGTAATTAGTTTATTGAAGCAGGATGATGGTGTGTTTTTGCATTATGCTCTCTTTCTTCACAGACAAGAGGCTCCATCCCCTTCTACTGGTCCCAAAGGCCCAATCTCAAGTACAAGCCAAAACCACAGATCAGCAAAACAGTCAACCATGTAAGCTGTCTTTACTCTTACTTTAGAGAAAACAAGGCCCTCTGTGTGAGTATAATCTTATTTCTCTCCAGTTCTCATGCACTTTTCCTCTTCTCTCTGTTTATCTCTTTAGTTGGATGGGTTCCAGAGACACTTTGACTCACAGATTATTCTCTATGGAAGACAAGTCATTTTGAATTTGGTAAGATGAGAAAATGTGTAATTATTTGAGATATACTTGATATTAATATTTATATTTAGTTATATTGCATCGATTCTTAAAAACACTAGATTTTTATGTGTAAACAGCTAGATATATAGTTATAGTTGTAAAGAACTGAGGGCTGTGATGGTGGATTTTCCAGCAACTGCGATAAAACCAAATGCTGATCACACTGTTGTGATTGCATAAAAAGTTTTGGTGGTGTGTTCTTTATGACAGTTTTCCCAAAATTGGACCTGTATTGTGGTGGTAATAATGATAACAATAATAATAATAATAATAATAATAATAGTAAAAAACAACTTTATTAATATAGCACTTTTCAAAGTTCTGTATAAAATATAAAAGAAAAAGAACAACAAACTAAATGAAAATAGTAGTGAGTTGCTGGTATTAAATGCTTCCTCTTTTTTTTTGGAGCCACAAGCAGAATTCTCACATAAGCCCAGTGAAATTTGTCTTATAAATGCACGCACAGCAGTATTAATTGTACGTGCAACAAACACTTCCTACATTTTTTTAATAGGTGAGAAGATTAATTTTATGTAAACTAAAATAAATTCAACTTACTTTGAACTGTTGAACTTCAACTTAAACTTGAACGTCAAAGTAAAGTTACGGTGAGAGGAAAACTGTAGTGAAATGCAATTAATTCACTGGAGAGTACACAGTGGCGACAAATTAAGCCAGTTAACGCAGAGTGTGTCATGAACACTGACCACCTACCTGTAATGAACCTGTGACACTTCATCATGAACCCTGCATCATTAAAGAAGGAGGAATACAACTGGGGTTAAATGTATCCACACTACTAAGTTATATGACCTTTAGTGAGCAGGTGCTGGACTGTATCCTCCAGAAAACTCCTAAAAAATGTCCTGAAGAGGTCCTGGAAAATTATTTCTTAAAAGGAATGGGAATACTCCATGCCACTAACTAAATAAATAAATAAAATGCCCCTCTCTGATAAGAACACTGAGTCCGTATTGTGTTGTTCACAGATCAACCAAAAGGGTTCAGAAAAGCCACTGGAGCTGGCTTTCGACAAGTTGGTAACTGGCTTGGGTAATGGCATGATCAAGTAAGATTACTACCAGTCCTTCACCCTTCAAATGTGTCTGCATTCTGTGTGTGCCTCATATTTACTCCACCGCAAATTTGATTGAACTACTTTTGACTTGCTTGTCTGCAGGTACATAGCCTTTGACTTCCATAAGGAGTGCAGTCGGATGAGGTGGCACCGCCTGCAGATCTTATTGGACATGGTTGCTGAAATGCAGGATGAATTGGGGTCAGTGTGCTTTTTGCATTGTGTATGAGCCGATACATGAGCCCGCCAGTTAGACTTCTATGTGCTGTACATAAGAAGTAATGGTGTGTATGTGTGTTCAGATATTTCCTGGTGGATGCAGATGGGAAGGTGTTGTTGAACCAGGAGGGGACATTTCGGAGCAACTGCATGGACTGTTTGGACCGCACCAATGTCATCCAGAGCCTGCTGGCCCGACGCTCGTTGCAATCCCAGCTACGGGTAGGACCCAATCATACAGGAGGTGGACACAGCTAAATAATAGGGTTGGGCGATATGGCTGAAAAATGTATCACAATATAAGTGTTTCATATCAGTCGATATTAATAATTATTGATTCGTTTTTTTTAACCTATTCTAATTGAGGACCAGGAGAAAAAAAGGCTGAATTTAAATACTTTTATTTAAAACGTAACCTTTAACCTTTATAAAGAGGTCAACACAACTATGAAAAACAGTCAAATAAATAAACATACTGGTCAATGTGCAAATATAGACATTAAATAAATGCTTAATCCAACAAAATGTGCAAAGTATTTTCTCAATAAAAAATTTGTGTACACCTGAGGTAGAACTAACATCTTTGACATATAACAAACAGTAATATGTCAGTATCAAACCAGCATAAAATTATAAAAATAACACAACACAAATAACCTGAGCATGTCCTTCGCTAAATGATACGCCACTGCATCCGTTATTTCTTTATATCGCTTTGATGTTTTGTCGTATGGCACTGCTGCCGTGTACCTCTCGATGGTGGTCTGTTGCCGCTTGTGTGTTGTTCCACTTGTACCGGCAGATGTCGATGGCTGTGGCTCTTTGAGGCTGCTGTACTCCAGCAGATGAGAGCGGCTGAGGTGATAAATTTGGGGACAACGACCTTGCAAAGTTTGCAGACAACATCGGTCTGACTCTTGTCTGACTTAAAATAACCAAAATATTGCCAAACTGGTGACGTGACCTTTCCTTTTTTATCTACAATTTCCTCTCGCGCTGTCGCACTCATATTCTCCTTTCACTCCACGCCGTCTTTTTTTTTGTTGTTGTTGTTGTTGATGCCACCAACCTGGCCTAGCTGGGCCGTGATTGGTCGAGAGGCTAAAGCCCTTCCTCTGCCTACATCCCCCAGAATGACTTGCGGTTCTGGCTCGGGGTTTTCTTCCTATTTTTCTCTAACGGAGTTCAAGTGAAATTATCGAACATTCTATCGAACGTATTTTCTATTGATATTGATCACGTGTCTATCGCGATAGATGTCGTTATCGGTTTATCACCCAGCCCTACTAAATAAGCAACTGCACCTAGAGAACAGTGGCTCAGTTACTCGATTTTAGTGGCAACACGTTTAATAAAAGGAAGTGTAATTCAAACCACCACCAAATCAAATTATCTGCTTGTCTGAATTGTCTCAGTTTTAGTTTCTCTTGAAATGTCATTGAAAACTATGAGGTTGGTATATATACTGTAAATTCTTGATGAAAATCTGGTGTTCAAGTAATCTAAAGTAATGGTTTGGGGACATGGACAGCATGAACACACAAAGACAGAGTAAAACACACTTAGAAGTGGAGTGGAGTTCAACTATTAAAATGGCTCACATGATAAATTCAGCATAAAGTTCATTTTCACAGGACTTTTTCGATCAGTACAACAGTCTCTGTTCTCTGCTCTCTGGATCTATTAAGCCTTGATTCCACCGGTCAGGCCATTGCAAGATTGTCTTTAGCTTTGCATTTTTGAATAATAAAAACTAAACTGAAATGAGCAAACCAACCCTGGAAACTGACTGAAATGAAACTGAACTGAAAACAAACATTAAAAAGGAAATCAAAATAAAAATGAATAAAAAATACAAAACTACAATAACTCTGCTACAGATGCCACACGTTGTCTTCCACGGAGTCTGTTATGTTGAACCGCCATGTTTCTACAGTAGCCCAGAAAGGATAAATAAAACACTCCCGTTCATTCACGTTTTTCTCGTGTTTCGTGGCCACTGTAGTTTGACCACAACTCCCTTCCTCTCCCAGCATGTTCCTACATACATCCCTACACAGGAAGGGAGTTGCAATCTGAAGCTAAACCACTAGATGCCGCTAAAACCTACACATTGGTCTTTTAAAAAAGAACATGAGAGCAGAAGAGAGCCATTATGATTTGACTGTGTTGCTGCACTGAGGGAGATGATGCTGTGAAAATTATATTGACTGTATAAAAAAGACACGTAAACATTTCAGCATTAACAGCAATTAAAACAGAAGCAGATCAGAAAACAGGCCTTTGACTAATGAGTAAAAATTAATTAATTTTTGGCCTTAACTTAAATGTGTGTCTTCCTGCAGAGAATGGGAGTCCTCCACATGGGCCAGCAGATTGAAGAGCAGGCAGACTTTGAGAAGATGTACAAGAACGGTGGGCTCTTCCTGACACAACAGTGGCCTAATCACCTGGCACATCTACAATTAAAGTCACAGATGTTAATATGATCTTTCTTCTGTTTCTCTTTCTGTTTTGTCTTCTGTCCACATGCAGCCTGGGCAGACAATGCTGATGCCTGTGCCAAGCAGTATGCTGGTACTGGTGCCTTGAAAACCGACTTCACCAGGTCAGTTTCTGCACAGCAATCAGCCAACATCAAGCTAAACACGCACTATCTGCCTGCTAATGACAAAGGAACAGTCTAAGGATGAAGATGTTGGCTAGTCTGTTTATCTGTCCATTTGTCCCTCCCCTTTGGTCCACAGCAATATATCTGAACAAATAATGATGAATCCTGATATTTTTAGGCTATCCTGACCTGTCCTTTAGTTCAGGAGTAACAGGAAAACAGAAAATAAAAAGTAAAATCTGTCCCCAGTATGATAGTCACACACACACATTGCATTAGCAAGCCATCTTTCAGTCACTTGAATACAATTTTCAATTCAAAGAGTAGCAAGCTTTAATGTGAAGTTAGAATACAAGTTAAGCAAGTTTACAGAGAACAGTAGTCAATATTTAGAATACACATCTTTGCTGTGCAAGCTAGATTATAAGCAAACAAGTTCACATGCAAAAAGAAAGCTCCAGAGCCTGGCCCGACACTTGCTACAATCCCAGCTACGGGTAGGACACAATCATATAGGAGGTGGACACAGCTAAATAAGCAACTGCACATAGAGAACAGTGGCTCAGTTAGTCGATTTTAGTGGCAATATGTTTTATAAAAGGAAGTGTAACTCAAACCACTTGTGCAGCTCAGTCCACTTCCCCACTGGATATGAATTAGTCCAACATCATTTGAAATTTACTTGAAACTAAAACTATGAGGTTGGTATGTTTGCTGTAAATTCTTGATGAAAATCTGGTGTTCAAGTAATCTAAAGTAATGGCTTCGGGACATGGACAGCATGAACACACAAAGACAGAGTAAAACACACTTAGAAGTGGAGTGGAGTTCAACTATTAAAATGGCTCACATGATAAATTCAACATAAAGTTCATTTCCACAGGACTTTTTCGATCAGTACAACAGTCTCTGTTCTCTGCTCTCTGGATCTATTAAGCCTTGATTCCACTGGTCAGGCCATTGCAAGATTGTCTTTAGCTTTGCACACTTCCTGCAGTTATTATACACCTAAAAGCCTACCAGGAAAAGGAGGGGTTGTGTCCTTGAAGGGGGGATAGGACACCTGAAGATAGACAGGAAAGGGGGAGAGAGGGGGATGACACGTGGCAATGGGCACAACTCATGGCTGCTGTAAGCCAGGACTCAGCCCTGGACTTGCCCACTCAGCAACTGGAAGACTTTTAGTTTTATCTTTTTAGAAGTGTTAAGTGAAGGAAAATAAGTATTTGTGTTAATGGTCCAGTGTGTAACATTTAGGAGGATCTATTGTCAGAAAAGGAATAGTCATAGGTATATTTTCTTTCAGTACTTTCAATTATGTTTTTGTTACCTAAGAATAAGCTTGAGGAAATGTTGGTACATCACTTTATTTAGACTGGGATGTCTACATGAGATGTGATATCAAAAATTCTGTTCACATGCAAAAAGAAAGCTCGTGGATGTCCGAAGTACCTTTAATAAGTTAGATTGAGATACTTTTGTATGTTACATGTACAGTATGTTATTCCTGCCGCTCGGGGTCTGTCACATCAAAACAAAAAGTTGTTGTTTTCAACACCATCGCCGTCATTGCAATCAGCTTGCAGGAGCCCAACTTTCCGAAGAGGGCGGCTGTGGCTCAGAGGTGGAGCGGGTTTATAATAGTGACCATAACAAAACCTACACACAGTACACATACCCCAACTTTGGGCTACAACTACTAAGTACAGTGTAAAAGGGCGGCTGTGGCTCAGAGGAAGAGTGAGTCGTTCTCTAATTGGAAGGTTGGTTCGGTCCCCGGCTCCTCTCACTACATGTCGAAGTGTCCTTGAGCAAGACAATAAACAACAAATTGCTCCCGATGCTTTGCATCGGTGTATCAGTGTGTATGAATGATTAGTTTCCGTTCTGGTGAGCAGTTGGCACCTTGCATGGCAGCCACTGCCATCAGTGTATGAATGTGTGTAGCATGTAGTGTACAGCACATTGAGTGGTCGAAAGACTAGAAAGGCACTATATAAGGACAGTCCATTTACCATCTCCAAATGGACCCGCTAATTAAAAGCGGTAAAAACACTGAATAAAGAAGTTCCACTTCAAAAATACTTTTCTCACACGCGCCGAGCTGCTGCTAACGTTAGCTCAGCATGTTTCTTAACTTAAGATCGAGACATCACATGACTAAAATCCTTCATCCGTTTCAAATGTCTGAAATGAAACTTAAAAACCACCAAGATCTAAAGTGTGGATGGTAAAGAATTGGCTTCAAACTGGATAAAAACTCAATTTATGATGACAACCACAACGCTGACGCATGCAAAAAGGGGATACGCCATTGACAGCCGACCAGTGAAACGCAGCGTTACCTGCATAAAATGACTTCTCTGAGTTCGAATGTTATTGGAAACATTTGGGATAATGTGAGTAAACAACTACATATAGAACATACCTCTAGTGTTTATAGACATTTTAATGAAGAAATGTTACACATTATAGCTTAAAGTGTGCTAGAGGAACGGGCAGGGGTCACCAGAATGGCTCAGGTTCAGAGGACAGTGGTGATTTTTTTAATATGGTGCTGAACTACATGTTGATCTTTCAGGACAGGGAAGAGGACTCAGTGGGGGCTGCTGATGGACGGCTGGAACTCTATGATCCGATATTACAAAAACAACTTCTCTGATGGTTTCAGACAGGTGGGTCCAAACCTTTATTAATTTGATTACTACAGTATCTGTGTGGATTAGACTGTAATAGTCATAATAATACAATGAGTATATAAAGTATTAGTGACTTCTTCTTGATTACAATTATTGGGCTGCTGCAAATACACTGACTTTACCACCACACAATTGTCCAAGTGGTTACCAAACTATGAATGTCCAGTGGAAAATTCTTTTTTTAATTTTTAATTTAATTTTACTTTTTACATTAACGTTCTTATTGATTCCATTCAGCATTGTCCCATTAGCATTTAACATCTCATACATATGTTTTCCATGTATACAGAGCATACAAATACTTCACACCAGGGATCAAAAATAAAAATAAAAAAGATAAAAAAAAAAAAAAAAAAAAAAAAAAAATTCACAATTAATCACAAAATTCAGTAAGCTAGAAATGAGTACATTTTCCCCTTCAATCTACATTTTCATTCCCCTCTAGTAACGACCTTTCTCACCTGGTGAATGATAATGCCGAACACGATCTTATGAACATTGAACACTTAAAATTTGTAGCAAGAATCAATTCAATTCAATTTTCAATTCAATTTTATTTGTATAGCGCCAATTCATAACAGAAGTTATCTCAGGACACTTTTCAAATAGAGCAGGTCTAGACCGAACTCTTTAACATTAATTACAGAGACCCAACAGTACCACCATGAGCAAGCACTTGGCGACAAGGGCAAGAAAAACTGCCTGTTAAAAGGCAGAAACCTAGGACAGATCCTCCGGCTCTAGGTGGGTGGTCGTCTGTCTCGACCAGTTGGGGTGAGAGAGAGAGAGAGAGAGAGAGAGAGAGAGAGAGCGACAGACAGACAGACAGACAGACAGACGCACAGCAACAACAGTATTGGCAATGGCAGTCAAGCAGGACCATGGCAGGAGGCTCCACCAGGATCCACGAGAACCTGCGAGACGAGAAAGCACAAGAACTCCGGGGAAGAAGTGGAGTTAGTAACATGCATTAAAGGGACATGAATGAGTGCAGAAAGAGAGAGGAAGAGAGTAGCTCAGTGCACCATGGGAAATCCCCCGATAGTCTAGGCCTATAGCAGCATAACTAAGGGATGGTTCAGGACTCACCTGATCCAGCCCTAACTATAAGCTTTATCAAAGAGGAATGTCTTAAGCCTACTCTTGAATGTGGTGAGGGTGTCTGCCTCCCGAACCACAACTGGAAGCTGGTTCCACAGGAGAGGAGCTTGGTAACTGAAGGCTCTGGCTCCTGTTCTACTTTTAGAGACTATAGGAACCACAAGTAGCCCAGCATTCAGAGAACGTAGTGTTCTAGTGGGGTAATAGGGTACTATGAGCTCTTTAAGATATGAAGGGGCCTGACCATGAAGAGCTTTATAGGTGAGGAGGAGTATTTTAAATTCAATTCTACATTTTATAGGGAGCCAATGCAGAGTAGCTAGTACAGGAGAGATGTGATCTCTTTTTCTAGTTCCTGTCAGTACTCGTGCTGCAGCGTTCTGAATTAATTGGAGCGTTTTAATGGACTTATTGGGGCAACCTGATAATAAAGAGTTGCAGTAATCCAGCCTTGAAGTAACAAATGCATGGATTAGTTTTTCTGCATCTGTCTGTGATAGTATGTGTCTAATTTTTCTAATATTACGTAAATGAAAGAAGGCAGTCCTAGAGGTCTGCTTTATGTGGGAGTTAAATGACAAATCCTGATCAAAGATAACTCCAAGATTCCTGACAGTGGTGCTAGAGGCCAAGTTAATGCCATCTAGAGTGACTATATCTTTAGACAATGAGTCTCTAAGGTTTTTGGGGCCAAGAACAAGAATTTCGGTTTTTTCTGAGTTTAACATCAGAAAATTGCAGGTCATCCAGGATTTTATGTCCTTAAGACATGTTTGTAATTTAGATAATTGATTAATTTCATTGGGTTTGATTGATAGATATAACTGCGTATCATCTGCATAACAGTGAAAGTTAATGGAGTGATTCCTAATAATGTTGCCTAAAGGGAGCATATATAAAGTAAATAGTATTGGTCCAAGTACAGAACCTTGTGGAACTCCATGACTAACTTTAGTATTTATGGAGGATTCATCGTTAACATGTACAAACTGAGAACGATCTGATAAGTATGACTTAAACCAGGTTAGGGCAGTTCCTTTAATGCCAATTTGATGCTCAAGTCTCTGTAAAAGAATATCATGGTCAATGGTGTCAAATGCAGCACTAAGATCTAATAATACAAGTACAGAGACAAGTCCATTGTCAGAAGCAATCAGAAGGTCATTATTAACTTTAACCAGAGCTGTCTCTGTGCTATGATGAACTCTAAATCCTGACTGAAAATCCTCAAATAAACTATTGTTATGTAGAAAGTCACACAACTCTTTGGCGACTACTTTCTCCAGAATCTTAGAGAGGAACGGGAGGTTAGAAATCGGTCTATAGTTGGCTAAAACCCCTGGGTCAAGAGTAGACTTTTTAAGAAGGGGTTTAATTACAGCTACTTTAAAGGACTGTGGTACATATCCTGATAATAAAGAAAGATTAATCATATCCAGTAAAGAAGTGCCAATTAAGGGAACAACTTCTTTAAGCAGCCTAGTTGGGATCGGGTCTAATAGACAGGTTGATGGCTTCGATGAAGAAATGATTGAAGTTAACTGATGAAGATCGATAGCAGAAAAACAGTCTAAATATACATCTAAGTTTACATTGACAGAAGTCCCTGAACTTGGAGAGCCACTGATAACTGTTGATGGCAGTTGGTGATTAATTTTTTCTCTAATAGTAATAATTTTATTATAGAAGAAGCTCATGAAGTCATTGCTACTTAAGTTTATGGGGATATGTGGCTCGATAGAGCTGTGACTCTCTGTCAGCCTGGCTACAGTGCTGAAGAGGAACCTAGGGTTGTTCTTATTTTCTTCTATTAGTGCTGAGTAATAGGCTCCTCTGGCATTACGGAGGGCCTTTCTATAAATCTTAAGATCATCTTGCCAATTTGAGCGATATTCTGATAATTTGGAAGAGCGCCATTTCCTTTCAGATTTCCTAGCTATTTGCTTTAACTGGCGGGTTTGGTGGTTATACCAAGGTGCTAGTCTCCTATGTTTTAATAATTTCCTTTTTATAGGAGCGATAGAGTCTAATGTTGATCGTAGTGAGCCTGTAGCACTATCGACAAGATTATCAATTTCAGAGGGACTAAAGTTGTTATAGGACTCTGTTAAATTCAGACATGGCATTGAATTAAACACTGAAGGAATCTCCTCCTTAAATTTAGCTACAGCACTGTCAGATAGACATCTGCTGTAGGAAGTTTTGCCTAATGGCTTATAATCTAATAGTATGAATTCAAAAGTTATTAAATAATGGTCAGATAGGAAAGGATTATGTGGGAAGACTATTAAATGTTCAATATCAATGCCATATGATAAAACAAGGTCAAGAGTGTGATTAAAACAATGAGTTGGTTTATTTACACTCTGACAGAAGCCAATTGAGTCTATTAATGATATAAATGCATTACTAAGGCTGTCATTGTCAACATCCACATGAATATTAAAATCACCTACAATAATTACTTTATCTGATTTAAGGACTAAGCTTGATAGAAACTCTGAAAATTCAGATATAAAATCAGAGTACGGTCCAGGAGCGCGGTACACTATAACAAATAGAACTGGCTGCAGTGTTTTCCAGTTTGGGTGAGAAAGACTTAGAACAAGGCTTTCAAATGAATTATAATTTAGTTTAGGTTTAGGGTCCATTAAAACGCTCGAATCATATATGGCTGCTACTCCACCTCCTCGGCCTGTGCCTCGAGGAATGTGAGTATTAATATGACTGGGGGGGGTGGATTCATTTAGGCTAACATACTCCTTGTGGGACAACCAGGTCTCAGTAAGACAAAGTAAATCAATATCATAATCTGATATTAATTCATTCACTAGAACAGCTTTAGAGGACAGAGACCTGATATTTAACAGCCCACATTTCATTCTCTTATTTTGTGCTACTGAGGAGTTGGTTTTAATTTTTATTAGATTTTTATGTTGAACTCCTCTTGTTTTTATTTCTTTAAATAGTTTAGGTGGTCGGGGGACAGACACAGTCTCTATGGGGGTTTGGGTGGGTGACTGTTCTAAAGAAAGCGCAGAGGAGTGTGTAAGACAGCAGCTCTGCTTCCTGGTCCTAACTCTGGACTGTCAGGTTTTAGAGATAAACTTCGCCATATTCCTAGATAAGAGAGCCGCTCCATCCAAAGTGGGATGGATGCCGTCTCTCCTAATCAGACCAGGTTTTCCCCAAAAAGGCTTCCAGTTATCAATGAAGCCCACATCGTTTGCTGGACACCACCTCGACAGCCAGCGGTGGAATGACGACATGCGGCTATACATGTCATCACTGGTCACATTGGGGAGGGGTCCAGAGAAAACTACGGTGTCCGACATTGTCTTAGCATAGTTACACACCGACTCCACATTAATCTTAGTGACCTCCGATTGGCGTAAACGGGTGTCGTTACCGCCGACGTGGATAACAATCTTACTGTATTTACGTTTATCTTTAGCCAGCAGTTTTAAATTTGATTCAATGTCGCCCGCTCTGGCCCCAGGGATACATTTAACTATGGCCGCTGGCTTCGCTAACTTCACGTTTCTGACTATGGAGCTGCCAATAACCAGAGTTGGTTCCTCAGCGGGTGTATCGCTGAGTGGGGAAAATGTATTAGAAACGTGAAGCGGTTGGTGGTGAACTGTGGGCTTCGCCGTTCTAGTCTTCCTTCGCTCAGTCACCCAGCCTCCCTGTCTTCCCGGCTGCTCGGGAACTACCGGGGGATCTACAGAGCTAACAGAAGCTACCTTTGGTCGGACCGCACCGGCTGCTGGGGGCTGGCTAACTATAGCGGCTAAAGATATCTCCGTGGTGCGGTGCCGTTCCTCTAACTCACTAAGCCTCGCCTCCAGCGCAGTAAATAAACTACATTTAAT